GGAAGGGCCTCTATGAGGTGGGTTGATTCAGTGACTGAGGTAATCGGGATGGGTGTGTCAGAGGCAATACGGTTGGCACAGGATAGAGCAGGGTTTAGGGCTGTTGTACATAGGGTCGCTATTAGTCGCAAGAGACTCAATGGCACATAACAACAACAACATGCAAAGGTATTTGACTGTGTGAATCACAACAAATTTTGGCTAACCTTGAGAAGAGTGGGAATTCCAAAACACTTGATTGTGCTCACACAGTCTTGTACTTGGTCCTATTCTTGGACAACGAAGCAAAAAAAAAAATACTACATGGTTCAAAATCAGGAAATGAGTGATTCAGGGATGTGTTCTATCTCCATACCTTTTCAATCTATATGCAGAACAGATTATTCAAGAGGCTGGATTTTATGAGAAAGAATATGGCATCAGGATTGGAAAAAGACTCCATCAACAGCGTACGTTATGTAGATTACAGCACCTTGCTCACCAAAACTGAGGAGGACCTGAAGCATTTGCTGCAGAAAGTCAAGGACTGTAGTCTTTAATATGGATTTAAGCTCAACATCAAGAAAACAAAGATTCTCACCAATTGGCGGCACCGTGATAGATGGAGAGGAGATAGAGGATGGTAACAATTTCAGCTTGCTTGTTTCCACAATCAACACTCTTGGCACCAGTAGTCAAGAAATCAAAAGGCTATTTGCTCTGGGGAAAGCTGTCAGGGATCTCTGCAAAGTGCAAAAGAGTAACAGTGTCAGTCTGGAGACTCAGGTGCACCTAATTCAGGCCATGGCCTTCACAATTACTTGCTTTGCATTAGAAAACTGGACAATGACTTATGATGGCAAAGGAAGAATTAATGCCTTTGAGTTGTGGTGCTTGAGAAGAGTATTGGACATACCATGGATTGCTAAAAGAACAAAGAGGTTTATCCTGGGCAGGGTGAAACCAGGCTATTCCTTAGATAGACAACAATTTTGAAGTTCTGCCACCAGAAAGGACCAGACCCTGGAGAAGAAAGTCATGTTTGGAAGGGTGGTGGGACAGCACAGGAGAGAAAAGACCCTGGATGAGATGGATTGACACAGTAACTGGGGTAAATGTGAGTAGGTTCATCAGAAACAGTGAGACTGGCTCAAGGGCAAAGTTCAGAAGTATTGTACATGGTGTCACCAAGAGTCACAGGCACCTCAATGGCACATACCAACAACACCACATCCAAAGTACATGGGAATAAGTTTCACCATCCTTGCCTCAAAAGAGCACCATGACAACCAAAGAATACAAAATACCAATGTTGTCAAGGCTACACAGCATTCAAGTAAGATGAATATTAAAAGGTGTCCAGTAGATTTGGCAATTAACTATTTTTGTACTTTCAGAGCACAGAGAAAAGCACTAACCCGTGAGAATACGTCTAACTGCAGATAAATTTATAGGTTAAGGGATAGTTTAACCTGAAGTTGCTATTTGATCAGTGAAATAAAAAACAGTGTTTTTACTGGAGGACATTATGTTGAGTGAAATATCTCAGTCACAGAAGGACAAATATTGCATAGGGCCACTGTTGTAAAAAGGGGCCGGCATTCGGGGTTGAGGGGAGACTGAGAAAGATGGGACAAATTATGTGTACTACATTGAAACAGATGAGGGAGAGAAATGATTAAAAGTGATATATGATTAGGTATTATTGTCATGACAGGAGTCCAGAATGAAGGCTGCACAGTAGAGTGGACCTGGGGGGAGGGATTGTATAACAATGAGAGAATTTTTCTTTTACTTCTCAAAGAGAAGAGCAAACTGGGGGGAGGGGTGGTTAGGGAAAAAAATGCAATAATGAATGAATAGAAATCCAAAGTCTCTGTAAACGTTCATTAAAATTAATAATTAAAAAAAGTAGGGAAAGAAAAAAACAGTATTTTTAAATCAGGGAAAGAAATTGGTATTTTTGAAAGGTTTTGAAGCCACTGAGAATGTAAAAAATTTTTTATAATCACCAGCATGAATGATATGACAGGTTTAACTAGAAAGAAATAACACAATGAAATGATACAATACCACTGAGGGTGTAGTTGAGATTGTTGTTGTTGCTATGCTGCACTGTCAAGTTGGAATCAACTCTTAGCTGACCCTCCAGAGGGTTTTCAGAGACAGTAAATCACATGGGAAGAGATTGCGTCCTCCTCACACAGAACAACAGCTAGTGGATTTGAACCACATGCCTTTGGGTTTGCAGCACAACTCTTTACTACTAAGCCACCAGACCTCTGTTGAGATTGGGTACCAAATACTTAAAATGGCCAGTGTGAAGTTGGCAATTTTCTCCAGATGGAAATCAACTTGGAATAGAGAATAAAAAAATAGAAATGTTTACATAAATCATTAAGGCTTTGGAAGGATAGACAGTGAAAATATTTCAGAGTCACTGGATGAGTAGTTAGAAATCAAACACCTCCAAGTCAAAACCAAGTAGTGATGGATGTGAAACCAGGTGGGAAACTTCTAGAGAAAAGAAAGAAATCCAAGGATGGAATGAATTCTTTGGGCATATAGCTGCAAAACGAATCAAAAACTATCAGAATGCTAGAATTATTGAACTACTGGTTTACAGCAGTTTTAACAGAAAATATGTTTTCTTCTAAAGCAAGAGACCAATTGTATGATAACACTATTATTGAGTAGTGTGATATGAAATCTTCCCATTTGTCAATGACCAAACTTTTAAATAAGAGCAAATATTAAGGAGGAAACACTAAGTTTAAAAATAATCCTATATTCTTTTTTCTTTTTTTTATTATGAAGGGAATAATAATACTTGTGTAATAATATTGTATAACACAATATTGCATAAAAATATAAAAGTAATATTGCAAAAAAAGTAATACTGCAAATACTTCAATACTTATTGAATTTTCACTTTTTCTTCTTTCTTGTTTTCAGAAGCCCCGTAAGTGAAGAACATCAAGATGGTGGCATGTACTCTGAAGGTAAGCACTGAAGCAATGCTTTATGTTCTCCTATATACCGGAAAAGGAGCTTATATTAATCATTAATTATAGGTTTATGAATCCATAATAATCACTATCACTGAGTCATTACTATCACTTATCCACAGAAGACCCCTCTCTTGTTTCATTTTCTTTCTTTTAATGTATTGTCATGAACCACTCATTTTCCTCCATCTTCCTTTTACATAGACAAACATTCTAACAGAGTTAACATGTGTTAGTTTGTATGTGTTCTTTGCATACTACTGTTTGTATGTACCTGTTAATTTACATAAACTGCATGTTATGGCTCACTCACTCTGAATTTTTAGGAGGGTTTGGAGTTTTTCTAAGTATTCATCCAAATGTATTGCATTTGTCCATTCATGGTGCTCTGTTTATATGTAATCTATTGCTTTGAACTAAATCCACATATTTCTTCCTTTCAACTCAGTGCTACCACAAATCACAATGCAATGTTGCCTTGCTTGGTATATCCTATGTGGACTGCTTACAGTCTTGCTTTAAATGTCCAACAATGGAATGACTGCTCATAAGCATGGGGTACTTATTTTTAATAAATGGAACAAAAGTGTTTTTTTTCTAGAATCACAGCATCTGTACAGATTACATAAACAAGACATGCAAATGTCAGTATGCCTACTTTTCATCAGCACATAGTCTTAGCCAGTTTTCCAAGTGTGTCCTGTCTAACATCTGGAATGGTACAATGCGCATGTTACCAGGAGAAGCCGGCCCTCATCCCGGGGAAAAGACATCCTGCTAAGAAAGGTAGAGGCTAAGCAAAAGGTAGAACAACCTTCAACAAGAAGGACTGACAGGTCATTGTTGCTGTTGTTATGTGCCGTCAAGTCATCTGCAACTCTTAGCAACCCCATGTACTACAGCTCTAAACCAGGTCCTATCCTGAGCCAATTTCAGTGTCTCTGACGCACATACCCTCATTATCCTGGTCATTGTGTAAATCAATCTCATCCAGAGTTTTCCTCTCCTGTGCTGTCCCTCCACCCTTCCAAGCATGATGTCCTTCTCTAAAGACTGGCCCCTCTTGGGGTATTAATTGATGTATTTGATATATGAAGTAAATATTTGGGACTAGATAAGTCAAAAAGTATGAACTAGTAGTTGAGATTTGTTGAGAATTCCTTTGTTACACACATAGGATAAAATGTATGTACCATTCTATTGAGGATAAAGGGTGGACTAAATATTTGCTTTTGCATTACTTTCTAAAACTCAATATAATTACTATATAATTAAGTTATAATTATCAAATAAATAATAATAAGCATCAAAATTGTGTCTTATCTTGTGTATTACTTTTTCTTTGATAAAGCATTGTCTGTTAGATTATGAACTGTTCTTTGAATCATGTCATAGTAGGTCTAATGTTGTTATTATGTGCCAGTGAGTCGGAACTGACTTGTCGCTGACCCTCCAGTGGGTTTTCAGAGGCTATAAGTTGCACAGGAGGAAATTGCTCATCTTTCTTCCACAGTGCAGATGGTAAATTCAAACCAGTTGCCTTTAAGGTGACAGCACAACTCCTTAACCACTAAGCCACCGGAGCTTCCTATTATATCTAATTACATTATATTAAAATGAGTGTTAATAACAATATGGTAAAATTTCATTCTTCTTTTTAATCTTTTAGGTGCTGGAAATCCAGATGATGTTAGTATCTTTTTTTTTCCCATTTTCCTCTTTTATTACACTGCTCTAAATAGAATATTTCACAATTATTGATTTATTTCCTATTGGTATAAAATGAAAGTGACAATTCTTATGATGAATGGTGATTATTTTTTACTGTGTAGTATTATTTTATCTAAAATGCTGAAGACATTGCAATTCTATCATTATGTCATCTCCCAAGGATATTGAAATGCTGACCATGAATTTAAGTTGTGGCTACTCAACTGAACTGTAGACAGAATCGAAAATGAAGACTTTTCATGCTTATTTTCCCACTCTTTTTCTGAAGAGAAAAAATATTTTAAACAAGCCTAAATCACCAACATTTACATTTACTTTTCTGGCTATTTAATGTAATATATGTGCCTTAATTAAAAAATTATTTAATGTTATAGATATGATTTATTTAAAAATTTAATCATCACTAATGTTTTTCTTGACAGGACCAAGAGAGTGAAGGCGAAACATATGAAGACATGTATGAGTTTATCTATATTTTTCATAATATGTTATTTTTGAGATAAATGTGATATTTTATGTGAGGAAGAATAGACAAAAACAGTAGAAAAAAACTTTTATCTATTCAAGATTGCCATATAAATGATAACTTTTATTTCAATACCAAGGGTTGAAGTTGCCATGGGAAAATCTGTTAGAAGGTTTGTGTCAGAGGACAGAGACCTGTAGTTTGAAAGACAGAGCCAGGAATTTGCATTTCTTGCACTGTCCTTGGACAAATAAATCATTTCTCTGTGTTCCACCTACCCTACCTCACCTAGGAAGGGCTTCTCCTCACATGTTTGTTAAAACTCACTGGCAGAGAGTCTGAACTGTCTCATAGCTGACATCCATTGGGCTTCTGAGGCTGTAAATTGCATGGAAGGAGGTTGTCTGTTCTCACTTATGGGCCTCCTGATAGATTAGAATCATCACAGTAGCTTGGCTCAGAACTTTTCATTTAATAGTGCAGCCCCTTAGGAACTAGGCTACCAGAGCTCTCTACACAGGGACATTAGGAGAAATAGTATATTATAGCAAGACTTCCAGAGGCCAAAGCTTTGAACTGCAAAATCAGAAAAATGTTAACCGCTCCAAAATGGGTTTCTAGGTAGCCCGGGATCACTGAATAATTTTTTTTTGAATTTGGAAAATTCTTCTCTTTTTTGGGAAAACAAATGAAGATGTCTTTACCCTTGTTTTATCTTATGTTGATCTTGTGATTGTTGTTGTTGTTGTGTGCCACTGAGTCAGAACCAGCTCATAGCTGAACCTCCAGCGGGTTTTCAGAGGCATTAAATAGCATGAGAGGAGATTGCCCATCTTTGTGTGGCAGAGAAGCTGGTGGATTCGAACCATATGCCTTTGGAATTGCAACAACAATCATCTTAACTTCTCTACTCTGTTCTTGTCCAACCAGTTCTGGACAAAAATTTCTGAACCAAGGTGTGTGTGTGTGTGTGTGTGTGTGTGTGTAAATGAAAGAAAGATAAATTAATTCTAATTCTGTAGCAAGATCAAGCCTTTTCTAAGCAGGGCCTTTCTCTTGCCAGCATAAGGTGAGGAAGAGTGGAATCATTTGAAGGTGACTTCAATCAGTTGATTTTTATGGGTTTTCTGTTTCTCTCTCGCTCTTATGGTTTTACAAAGTACATTGAGGTTTCATTCAGTCATTCATACACCTTTTGTTTCATAACTTTGGTTACAATCCACACTTCAATCACCCTTTTCCCATTTCCTCCATGTAATCCTTTCTTCTTTCCCTCTCCTTCAGGGCTTTATTGCTGGGCAAGGCTGCTCTTTTGACCCTACACGGCTGAGTGAGTGCCTCACTGGTGTTGTCTAAAACAATCTCTTAACTCAGCAATTTTGGCAAAACTATTCCTTGTCACTCTTGGCCATTTTACCTTCCTCTACACTTCAGGGCAAACTCCCAGGAGCTATGGCAGGATAGTCCCTAGCGAGTTGTGCTGTTAAAGTCAAAGGCTTTGAATCTCCTGTGGTTCAAATGCACCAACTGCTCCCAATGCAATTATCAGGCTTCTCTTAGTGAGAACCTGTGAGTTCTGTGAGTTCATCAGCAGTGAATTAAGATACTTCAGATATCATCTTCTTTTACGGGCAGAAAGAAACCCTTCTGGCTAGTGAGCTTTCGCACACTGAAACCAAACGTTTTGTTTTGTTTTTTTTTTAAACAGAGAAGCATCCAAGGAACAAGAGAAGAAAAGAGAAAAAGAGGAAAAGAAGCGTTTGGAGCAAGAGAAAAAAGAACAGAAAGAGAAAGAAAAGAAAGAACAAGAAATAAAGAAGAAATTTAAAGTAAGAGCTTTTTGGCTGATGGGTAAAAAGATGAAGCGCTGTGTTTGAGAGCTCCCATATTCCATGGCCACAAAATCATTTCCTCATTTTATAGGGAGAAACTATCACCACTACAGTAATTTTTCTGTCCAGTATGCACCCACATCCTTTCACTACAAATGCCATCTATTGACATCCAAATAAAATATGATTGCTATCCTCTTTATGAATCATGAACTCAAGTCTGTCAAGACCAGCACTTACTTGCTTATACTCTTCCCACAACATGATAATATATTTTTACTTAAAAGGTTACACATATGTCTTAATGGCTCACATATTTCTTGATTCTATTGCAGACACTATTGCACATTTTAACAATTCTTATGTTAGAGCATTTTAACATCATTGACACATCATAATTTAATTCACACTCAGGTATATATTTCCCTCTTTCTTTCTTGGTGTTACATGGTTAATGACGTCTTAAAATTGATGGTATTCAATATAATAAGAAAGAACTTGAAAATTCACTATACATATTTACACATAAAAAGGTTTTTTTAATTATGTTGAAAAGACCACAACTTTATTTTGTTTAACTCAGCATATCTCATGGATTGCTTTTATGCTTAGATTCATTAATAATTTCATGGAATTTATAACTAGGAATTTATAACTAGGAATTTATAAATCATGATCTAAGTTAAATTATTCTCCTGCTGTCAAAGAAATCACCATATAATTCAGGATGTTATTTATTAAAGGCTTGATACATGTGTTTGTGTGTTTTGATTTACAAAATCATTCTCATAATGCTGTCCTTATTATAGCAAAGAATGTCTACTCCAAGTGTATAGATAGATGGCTAATCAAGATTTTTTTAAAAAAGAAGCCATACTCCCACAAGTACAGCCCTCTCTGCTATAATTCACCCTTCCCTCTCCTGTATAAGGCACATTCATTCTGACAGAACTGTCAGAATTATTACTTAATGCCAAGATAAAGTAACGTGTCATTATCTACCAGCCCGCACATCCCATCAAAGCATGGATTGCAGCCAGCATGGACTGTCAGTTTTGTTTGTAAGCACTGTCAATTCATTACTGACTCATAGCCACCCTGTGTGTTTCAGAGCAGAACTTCTCCACACAGTTTGTTAGGCTGTAATCTACTCACATTACAGTTCTGGGAGCTCTGGTGGTCTAGTGGCAAGAAGCTGCACTGCAATCCCAAAGGCGGGAGTTCTGAATCTACTAGCTGCTTTGCAGAAGGCCAGACAACCTCCTCCCACGTGATTAACTGCCTCTGAAAACCTTCCTGAGGGTCAGCTATGGGTGGGTTCCAACTCAATGGAACACAGTGACAACAACAGTCTACATAGGGGCAGCTGGGGTCGCTTAGCATGTAGTTGAGTTAGCCTAATGGAGGCATCCCTTTGATGGTTTGGATACATTAGCTGTTCCACTGGAGAAAGATGGGCTGTCACCTCCCATTTCATTTACAGCTTCTGAAATCCAGCTGGAGGGTCAGCAGCAGAGTCTGTTTTGACTTAATGGGAATGACTTTGAGGGTTTGAGGGGTTTTTTTTAATATATGCAGGAGAGGTTTCTTGGTCTTTCACCCATTAGGTAGCCACGGGATTTGAACTATCAATTTGGCTATCATCTCAGTGCTCAACCCTTGCAGCACCAGAGGGTCTCATGGATTGTGCACCAATGGCATTCAATTATCAGCAGCTACCTTTGTGTGTCTGTCACATAGTTTGTAAGGTCATCATGTCACTACTATTCTATTCTGGACTCCATTCTGTAGGGTCTTTGCTGACCTGATTTGGCCTCTGATTTTATTTTCCCCCTCTTTCTCTAGCTAGAACATCTAGCAGATAGAAATACTGTTCACTCTCAGTTTCTAGTTCAAACCTGAAAGTGTTATAAATGGGCAGGGCTAATTTTTAACATACTGCATGTTAGCCTAGTGGATAGGGTGCTTTGCTGTCAACCCAAAAGCAGGCAGTTCAAATCTACCAACTACTCCAGGGACAGAAGATGGGTGATCTCTTCCTCTAAGAGTTACAATCTTTGAAAACCAGCTTTACGTCAGTTTCCGTTCTGATTCAACAGCAATGCATTGAATTGAGCTGCATTCCTTAAAGATTTCCAGGATAATAAGGTAGCCCACCGTGATTACATTTTTGCTCTGCAGCTGACAGGTCCCATTCAAGTCATCCATCAAGCAAAGGCTTGCTGTGATGTCAAAGGAGGAAAGAATGAACTGAGCGTCAAGCAAGGAGATGACATTGAAATCATCCGCATCACAGACAATCCTGAGGGGAAATGGTTGGGCAGAACCACCAGAGGATCATGTGAGTTAAGTCTCCTTCTGATTTCAAAGTGTCTTCTTGTTGAGCTGGTATCTAATTTGCAAATTCTCCTAGATCTACTCACAATCTTCATGTTAGGAATATCTTCATGCTTGGACAGAGATAGGACGATTAATATGACATGTAATTTATCTCCATTTGTATTTTAAAGGGAATCAGGCAAATTGTTATATTAGTCTAACAAATGGCAAAAGGTATCAGACTCAGTCATTGATGTCAAAGGGGAAAAGAAAATTATCCCTGTGAATCACTTCTGAGTTTTTATAAAAAAGGCTGGTTTGGGCTGGGGGGGGATTGTTTGGTTTTTGGGGTATTTTTTAATCAAGGTCTGGTTTAGGCCAGACTCTGGGGGCCTAGTAGTAAGAAGCTGTGCTGCAATCCTGAAGGCATGTGGTTTGACTCCACCAGCTGCTCCATGGGAGAAGGATAGGCAGTCTCCTCCCACGTGATGAACTGTCTCTGAAAATCCACTGGAGGGTCAGCTATGAGTCAGTTTTAATTCGATGGTAACACAACAACAGCAATATATAGCTTTGGCACATGAGAGTGAAACATGTCTTCATGGTGTTGTTATTGTTGTTGTTTCCACTGAGTCAATGAATTCATAGTGACACTGTGAACAACAGAGGCTGCCTTGCCCTCCCCTGATCCAGTCTCACAGTGTCTGCCATGTTCAAGCCCATTGTTGCAGTCACATTGTCAATCCATCTCAGAGGCAACTTCCTCTCTTTTTCTGACCCTCTACTTTTCCCAGCATGATATCTTTTGCCAAAGACTTCATAAGAGGCCTATAAATCAGACAGGCAAGCCAAGGAATAAAGGTAAACTTTAAAGAGGAACTGTACAAGTAATCTATTAATGACAACTTTCCAATATGTAAACTGCACTTGAAGCCCTTGGTCAGAAAATGAATTCTGTCTCATGCCTGAATCTCCATGATCTCTCTTTTGATAGATGGCTACATTAAAACAACTGCTGTGGAGATTGACTACGATTCCTTGAAACGGAAAAAGACCTCCTTTGGTGCTCTGGTGTCAAAGCCTGTTGAAGACGACCAGGAGGTATATGATGATGTTGCCGAGCAGGATAATGGTAGCAGGTATGTACAAAGGCAAATCGTAGAGCCAATCAGATGCTTGTTGTGTGTGTGTTTTAAGATCCTAGAGTTTCACCTTAGCAGCATCTACTTCCTAAAACACATGCCTCTGGAAACTCTATGAACTTTGATAAATGTCGACAGTTGTAGAGGGGCTTCAGACCTTTTCATAAGGTTGATATGAGTCATGCTCAACTCAAAGGCAATCAACAACAACAACAACAACATATTTTCTATTGCTCTCTATCACAAAATCAAATTATCATCTACAATAACCCCAGTAGGAGTGAGAGTTTTCTTGGTGACTCGACGGCACATAGCAACAACAACAACAACAACAACACAAGTCTTTATATGTATTTATGTATCCAATACTACTTGAAATATCGTGACTCATTTGTTGTTAGAACCCATCAACTATGTTGTTATTTGAAATCATTGTTTTGTGATATGATGTGCTCTTAGGAATATGCCTATAAGTAACTATTACGGGATGAAATAAGAAACAGGAAGCATCATAAAATGTTTTGCACTGGAAATAACCAGTATTCTTATTTGAAAAAACAATGGGGGAAACAGTGACCTATGCTTAAATTCTACTTTGTACTTCTAAATATTCAATTCCTTATGCCGATGTGTGTTTTTTAAATATCATGATGCTCACTCATATCAGATACATCAATGTAAACAAGTGACTTAAAATTTTCTGTACAAAACCCTCCGCTGTCCTGTCAGTTCTCACTGATGGTGCCACTCTATTGGGTTGCCAAGGCTGTAATTATTAACTGGAAGAAACTGCCCATCTATCTCCCGTGAAGCAACTGATAGATTCAAACCACTGGCATTTTCATTAGCAACCCAGCATGTAACGACTACACCACTCTTCGCCAAACTCCTTCAAATGACCTATCTCCTCCAATCATCTGTATTTCAGAACCTATATGTTACTCTTCACATTTATTTCTCCCTCCCTGCATATACTAACTTTTCATTTAAAAATGCAAGTAATTCTAAAACTTCTACCCTGACTTTACCCATCTTTTTCCCCCCCGCTGACACCATCTGGTGGGTGGGTGTGATTAAAAAAGCTTTCCATACTCTCCCAGTCTAATCTCTACATCCCAGGCACCGCAATCATCTAATTGAGTGCTTCTCAAATAGTAAGTCCCACAAGTGTTTCCACATATCAGTTAGACAACATCCAAATTGCTCTCTACCCAGTCCATGGACACTGTCCACTGATAACGTGCTTTGATGCTGAAGCACAGTCTATTGGGTGTAAAAGTGTCTAAGCATTTGCTTTCTGCCTCTGCTCTTGTGTGACAGATTAGCAATGGACAGTTGATCAGTACTGATCCTTAGATAGACTTTTCCATCTAAATGGATCCTAACACTCTTCTGCTTTCTTTTGTTTGTCATTGCAGTCAGTGTCAACAGCAAGCTCTTGATCAGGATCCATTAAGCTCTGCATGGTTGTTACTGTTGTTAGTTAAGTACCATTAAGTTGACCACAACCCTATAAACAACTCTGTCCTCTCCTGCATTTTCCCCCATGATCTCTGATTTGCTGGAGCCTGTGTCAATCCATCTTGTGGCCAATCTGCTTGAGTCACTGTGTCAATCCATCTTGTTGAGGGTCTTCCTTTCTTTCTCTGACCCTCTGCCTTTTTCAGCATGATGTCTTTCTCGAAGAATTGGCCCCTCTTGACAACATGATAGCTCTGCATGACAGCTCCTAACTAATTCTCATGATATATCTCCTGCCTCACTCCCTCCTTGGCTAAATTCCTGTCACACTAGCAACTGCATTTGCTGTTTCTTCTGCCTGAAATACTCTTTCTATAGTTCTCCACCTTGCTCATCAATCCTTCAGGTCATCCACCAAGAAACCTCATATGACTTCTAATCTCCAGTTTTCTTTCCAACAATAAATAAATTTCTAACACTTAAATTTTTCTTCATATCATTACTACCACTTTTGTTTATATATGTATCTCTAGGATTATTTGTGTAACATTTTTTGTATTTTCCCCTTTGCCTTATTTATTGTGGTAAACATATAAGTAGCAAACTAATTGTCATTTCAGCATTCTTCTCATGAACAATTTATTAATCCATTATGATAAGGAGTATACTTTATTCTTTGACATATAATATTTTGATAGCTTTATACATTGCTCTCTTTCTAAATGATTAATAGATTTATTTAGACAATAATTATTAGTGCCATACTTAATATGAGATGTTGAATATTCAATCTGATTTTCCTTCCTGAATACTGTTTTTTGTTTTCCTAGCCTTGTAAGTATTAAAAACATAGTATCAGAAGAACAAGGGATCAACCCCAAACACAGTTTCTCAAAATGAGACCTGAAAATGGGCCTGGAATCACTTTTTAAAACTATTCTATTTCTACTTTAGCTAATTAATTCATATGTTAATTTTTCTCTGTTTTCTGTTTTTTGTTTCCATAGCCATAGTCAGAGTGGAAGTGGAGGTGAGTCACCCATTTCACTTTGTACTTTCTCTACAAGTCCTTGACATTTTTAACGTATTCACAGAGACTAATGGCAAATTGCGTTAGTCTGCAAAAGTGGGATCCTAATGTACCACAAAGAACAGTGGACTGGAAAGTGCTGTCCTAGATTTGAGTCCTTGTCACCAGATGACAACTTAATGTCAAAGCCAAAGTCCTTCTTGATGTATATGAGTCGGAGCACACTTAACTGATAGCATCCCCCTTCATTTTCAGAAGTATTTTATTCGTATGGTAATTTAGTTATCTTAGCTATTCCACATTTAGGGGGTCTGGTTTTCTCATCAAGAAAACAAAGGAATTGAAATAGTTTATTACAGCACAAATGTTCTCTTGCAAGATTTCAAGTTCATTGTATATATTCTTATACATTGTTGTTATTGTGTGTCCTCAAGCCAGAACCAACTCATAGCTGACCCTCCAATGGGCTTCCATCAATCTTTTGATTGATTAACATCTTTCTCCTGCAGAGCAACTGGTAGTTTTAAACTGTCTAGATCTGGTGGCCTAGTGACAAGAAACTGCGCTGCAATCCAGAAGGCACGTGGTTGGAGGCCACCAGATGCTCCGCAGGAGAAGGAGGGAGAAGGATGGGCAATCTCCCATGCAATTAACTCCCTCTGAAAACCTGCTGGAGGGTCAGCTGTGGGTCAGTTCTGACTCTACAGTACACAACAACCACCACCACCACCATTGAGTTGGCAGAACAATTCCTTACGCACTCAGACCCAAGCCCTCCTGACGCTGGAAAGCATATGAAAGTAGAATGCCCATCTTCCCTCCTGAGAGTCCCAGTCAGTTCAAACCACTCATTTTTGAGTTGGCAATGTGACTCTCTATTCACTAGACCACCAGAGTGCTACTACCCACAAGACAATGCTTAACAGGCATTTGTTAAATACATACATGTCAAATAGAAAGGGACTTCAGGAGAATAAGATCACAAATCAAACAAGAGTTTAGCCTTAAGAATAACTACCTAACCTAAGTCTTTCTTTTTTCTGTTTCAGCTGCCATCAGTCTTTTTGGCCTTTCATTTCTTGTCTTTCAATCCATTTGTTTTTCTTCATACGTCTCTTGATCAGGATCTTCATCTAAATGTCTCCTCAGTGCCAACTAAAATTTTCTTATTGTCTCCTAAGTTCTTTTCTTTTCCACAATACTTAGCTCCAGTCCCTATCAACATTGATGTTTTCACATGCCTATTTCCACTATCCCTTTCTTCTCAAGTTCATAGTCCCTCATATCATCCTGAATTTCCTAGTTATCATTTCAGCTCTGAGAATTCTCTATGAAAGCATCAACAGAGTGGTTGGTTCACTCTCTGCTCTCCATTTGAGAGTAGAAAAATACAATTACTTTTATTTTGTTTTTAATATAAAAGATATATTCTTTCTATAGTTAAAGAAGATACATTTATTTCCAAAATTTGAGTGCCAGTTGCATGACTGAATGATAACTTTCACACATTATTTTCTTCCCGTCCTCCAAATAAAGGAGCATTCCCACCTCCACCAGATGATGACATTTATGATGGGATTGAAGAGGAAGAAGGTGATGATGGGTAAGCGTTATCAAAAGAGTTGGCTTTTTGCATATGATTGCATTTACTTAAAGTTAAGATTAAAAGCAGAAGGTAGTGTTCTTTATTGCATTACCAAAATTGGTCTGTATGTTTAGCAGCAATAGTGAATCACGAACTATAATTACAAAACACTTCAAATGATGTGGTATATTGTTTGGATAAATCTCAAAATTCTGTCAAAGAAGTAAAATAAAAAAAGAATAGAGAATTACAAATGGTGTCAATTTTTTCAAGCTTTTTCCAATAATATACTTATCAACTGATTGATCCCATCATTTACCTATCAACTGAGAGACTTATCTATCAATCATTTATTTTTCTTTAAAAATCTTCAGAGTTTATTAGGTCTTAGCTATCCATTATAGGATAATCATAATTATAAAGCAGCTCAAATGAATTAAGATTCTTGGCTATCTTGGCAGAACCTGTATTGAAAGGTTGCTAAAATCTTTTTTATGTGGTACATTCGAAACTTTAAGAATGATTGCTTGTTTACTTATAATCATAAAGCAGATCAAAACTGATGTTTTTAAGGCTATTCCTGATGAACTTAGCTTCACATTTCAAGAAATAAATTTCACTAAAAAAAAAATTTACTATTCCACCACTCCAATGCCACGCCTATATGTTTAACAGCAGCATGTTGTTAGGTCCGATGAGTTGTTTACTTCCTGGATAGTCAATTGATCACCATTATAAGAACACTGAAATTTCACCCCCAATGTCTTCATGTTGCACTGACTATTGCATTCTGATCAATGCCTGTATTGCATTCTGATCAATGCCTGCATGCCCCAAAGTTCCACACTACAGGTTGAAGAAAAGAGCAACTCGTGGTCCTGGGGAATTTTGAAGAAGTTAAAGGGCAAAGATGACAAAAAGAAAAGTATACGAGAGAAATCAAAAGTCTCTGATTCAGACAATAATGAAGGTCCACCGTAAGAGTCAGCCAACCAAATTAAGTGCACAGTAACTACACTAATACTCACTTAATCAAATGCTACTAATATTTCATTACCAATAACCAAAGTCTGTTAGCCTTAAAACATATCAGTGTCATTCTCCATTAATCACCTTAGCCTCGTTCATATTGTCATCTTTAAACTCATAACCCTAATACCTGTAACCACACGGAAACTCACACTCTCATACTGACTAATACAATCATATATGTTCATTATTTGCATATAAGCACACTCCATTTAGTAAAACTCTTTGATAACTAAAGGATCATGATTAAAACCTCACAATTTTTTTTATCTTTTATTAAGCTTACAATTTTATAGTTTAAAAAGTCATTGCTAGATCTGTCTTTTTTTTTAAATTTTTATTATTTTTGTATGAGTGTACCATCAAATCAGATCTGACTGGTACAGGAGGAGATTGCCCCTCCTTCCCCGGCAGAGCATCTGGTGGATTCGAACCGTGCGCCTCTGGGATTGTAGTTGCAGCTCCTTGTCACTAGGCCACCAGAGCTCCCCCTAAGCTTACAATTTTAATGTCACATTTTATTATATATCCCATATTGGCATTCTCTTGATAATTATTTCTTTTCTCCAAAAAGTAATAGTCTTAATAACTTTGTTTCATATTACTTTTATTTGAATTCTTTATTCTTCTCATTATAATTTATTTTTACTAAATTGTTTATATAAATAAAAACTATAACATAAATCTTCTCTTTCCATTCCACATGTAACTCTTTATCATAAATAACCTCCAGTTCCCCAGTACTGAAAATTCTTAACTATTTTATAAAGGATTAATGAGTTTACCATTCTTATAATTGGATTCTTTATAAGAAGTTAATTTCCACACACTTCCACATATTTGTAATCCTAAACCCTTCATGAAATGCCAAAATAGCATTTAATAATCAGTGTACTTGAAATTATAAGAAAGCATAACAAGAAATAAATCGCTTTATTCCACGTTACTCAAATATAATACTTACACAACAGAAATAAGATCAGAAGTTACTTTTATTATTCCAATCATGTATAGTTTAGCCATTCCTGTGTTGTGCATCAGTTTTCTGGTATTGTATGTGTATTTGTGTGTTTATGTATTTGCTGAGCTGTAGCTCAGAAAATAATAAAAGTTAAGGTGTTTATCTGTTGCAACTAAAAGTCACAAATCCTGATTTGAAATTACTTATATTAATACACTCTCACTCTCTAGCTGACACGGATGTTCCTTTCTTATGCACCATTCTCCTATGTCTGGGTATGCATAAGGGAAATGTAATTACATAAATATTCCTATTGGTCTTTACATTTAGACTCTGCATTTTCAGTCTGAGATTTAAATAGTTCCAAGCTAGTGTTATAGACAATGGGTCCAAAATTTCAAGTCCATTTCATTTACTATTCTGTAATAATATGGTACAAACTTACAGAACAAATTTGCACATATTTATCCTATAGCTTTTGGCAAAATAAAGCAACCAAATATCTTAACTCCAGACTTTTTGGAAAACACTGGAGTTTAAAAAAGTCTTGATGAATTCCAAACTTATGGCTACACTTAGACTTCATGGAGAAATGGAGGATGAGAAAGGAATAATGATCAATCGATTAACCTTTATAAGCCTCTGAGCTGTTTCCTGTTCATGTATTGTCTAAATAGAAGATTCCATTTCTATATTCATATTGTTCTGATTATAATTAATTGTATTCTCATTTTTATTTCAGTTTTCCTGCTCCCCCTGAACAATTGCGTAAGTAGTAAAAACTAATTATATATCTTATAAGTTATTCTTACAGATTTGGTGGTGGAGCAGGATTTAGTCACAGTACTGGTGCTGAAAAATAATAAATTCTATAACCTTGAATGTTGTGTGTCCCCATTGTCAGTGAAGTAGAAGAAAAAGGAAAGGTTAAAAAACATGAATAGTTTTTCAACTGTTATTCCAAGGAGTGATGAAGGCTTTTATACAGATAATGATGAGTTGAGGGTGTATATCTTATCTCCCATTCAACGTCACTCTTCTTCAGTCAGTACCCTACTGAAGCAAAATACTTGTTTAAAGACTAAGGTGGGCCTGATCCAAGCCATGTCATTGATGTTGATTGCCTTCGAGTCAAGCACAACTCATAAGGACCCTATGAACAAAAGGCCTGAAGTTCCTCTTTTCAATTGTTTCTTATGCACCCGAAAATTGGACAATTAAGAAGGGTGACAGAAGAATAATCAATGCCTTTGAATTGTGGTTTTGGAGAAGAATACCGAACACCTCCTGAACTGTGAAAAGAACAAACAAATATATCTTTGAGGAATTGCAACTATGATGCTCCTTAGATCAGGGATTGTGCAATGTCATCTCACTTTCTTGGAACATGTTGTCAGGAGGGACCAGCCCTTGGGAAAAGACATCATGCTGTGGAAGGTAGAGGGTAAGAGAAAGAGGAAGACCCTTAGTAAGATGGACTGACAATGACTGAAGCAATGGCTTAAGCATGGCCCATGAGCTGAAGCAATGGACTAAAGCATCATGAGGACGGGACAGGACAGGACGAGATTCTGCTCTGTTCATAAGGTAGGGATAATTTGGAGATCACTGGATAATCCATATGGAGAATACCATATGTGCCAGGCAATCCCATTTCTTCTTCAGTCATAACCCAATTTTCATATTTGCCTACATAATACATGAAATTCCAACACAAAGACTTTTTTTTCTATAATTATATTTTATTAATTTTCACAAACATTTACAGAGATTTTGGGCTTCCACTCATTCATTGTTGCACTATTCTCTCTACCCTCCTCCCAGTTTGTTCTTGTCCAAATGCCACAGTGCTTGTCAAAGCCAGTTCTGATTAATCTTCTTTGTCAGTGTATCCTTTGCCATTCCCTATCACTCCTCCCTGAGAGAGACTTCACCCTGAGTCATAAGGAAAAGGGGACGGCGTATTCTCTTAGCTACTTCCTGCTGAAAAGGGACGCTGTGGGTTTCAGGGTGAAGATCTTCTCTCACTACTCTAAAGGGCCCCTTTGGCAGTAGGAAACACATAGACTATTATGGAGATTGATTTTGGAATTCAGATGCACTCTTATTGATTGTGCTTGGCTGTACATGTACATATCCTTCAAGATGTATCATGGGGGTGTTGCAACCTAGAAGACACAAATTTGACTAACAAGTTATAAGTACATGAGTCCAAAAATTATGGAAAAGTAAAAGAAAAGATTCTTTCATTGTTTTACAAACCCTCCCCCAGGTCCCCTCCACCATGCAGCCCTCGCTCTAGTCTCCTGTGATGACAGAAATATCCAGTTACATCTCTCTTTTAGACGGTTCTCTCCCTCCTCTGCTTCAGTGCAGTATACATTATTGAACCCATCTTACTCAGTGTCTCCCTAACCCCAAGGACAGTCCCATTCTACAATAGTGGCATCATGTAATATTTGTCCTCACAAAGACTTTTGAAAACATAGTATTTATTGTATGTAATCATGGTCCCTATAAATCGAAATTCTTTAATTTTTAAAATGTATCCTTTATATTCCACTTCTTGATTTATATTATTGTTAGACATGTGAGAGGAGCTCTGGTGGCCTACTAGGTTGTTGTTGCTGTTGTGTATGGTCAAGTTGGAACTGACTCATAGCTGACCTTCCAACAGATTTTCAGAAACAATTTAATTATATGGGAGAAGATTGCTCATCTTGCTCCAGCAGAGCAGATGGTGGATTCAAGCCTCAAGCCTTTGAGATAGCAGTGCAGTTCCTCACCATGAGGCCACCAGAATTACATTCCTAATACAAAGGCAGGTGATTCAAATACAACACCTCTTCTCTGGGAGAAGGTTGGGTACTCTTGTCCAGTGTGATTTACAGCCTCTGAAAAACCTGCTGGGGGTGGGGGCTGGGGGGTCAGCTATGAGTCTGTTCTGACTCCACGGCAAAGAGTGAGTGGGTCAAGTTAAGACACGCAAACCATTTTTGGCAATGTGACAAAGCACTCTGTTCTACTTTTGACCCCAACTTTCAGTAGATACAATAAAATGCAAAGTCAAGTCACTGGTTATACTTACTCATGAGCAGTTTCTTCCTCTTTAATTCTATCATAAATGCCTTTAAGTTGTAGAGAAAGGAACATCCCTTTATTTAAAGTATTGGAAGAAAATATTTTGTTTATTTTATCATTTAATGACCCAAACTCTTATTAATAAATGTGCCTTCCAGTGGCATCATATGTAGGGAGTTGTGCTGCTAACCCAAAGGCCACACCTCTTTGGTGGTTCAAATCCACCAGAGGCACTGTGGGAGAAAGAAGCAGTCTCCTGTCATGAGATCTACAGGTCTTCAAAAACCTGCTGGATTCTCAGTTATGAATCAGTTCCAAAAGTTCTTTATCTTGAAATGTGTCTTTTACCTTAAAAACCCTAAGCAAAAAAAATGGTTTTGTTTTCTTACTCTCACATAGAGAATAATGAATGAAAAATTTTGCTGGTCCTTGTATAGAGAACTCTCACTGCTTACTTTTTCTCAAATTATCTAAGTGCAACTCAACAGCACCTAATAACAAAAACAACAAAAAGATCTCCTGAACCTTTATCATTTAGATCTTTCTATGTCTCTATGCACGGACTCCAATCCAGGCCCATGGTCCTATCTTGATGCTATGCCTCCTGGTTACAACATGCAGTCCATGCAGGTCTCTTTTGTCTGACACAAGCTAGTAGTACAGTCCTTTGGGCTTTGTTGAAAGTCTCCTGTCCAGAGGTATCTCTCTGTATGAATGCCCCCAAACAGAATCCTCCTGGTCACCCCTGCACAGACACACAAGTCTCTGTCCTCTGTGGGCAAGTGTTACTTTCAGCTTCCTTAGCTCTCCTCTAAGTACTCCTGCCTGAAGGTATTCAGTTCTTGTTTCTTCAGTCAGTAAGCCTATTGCTACTGCTTCACATGTCTTGTTCCATCACCAGTATTTGCTCTTTCTTCTAAGAAGTTCTCAGGGACTCTGTGTTCTTGGACCAAAGGGCAAATTTCACTCCAGGCTTTTCTTCTTGATGGTAATGTGATGTTCTGAACCTCTGTGCAATTGTCCTACTTATCAGTACTGAGTCATGGTTCTCCCATGAATGCCACAAGCAAGCCAATCAATCCTCTCAGGAGACCATAAATCACTCCATTTTCATAATGAACTGGCCAATCCCGTTGTCTGTTTGACCTACAAGTTTGCCATTCTCCAATAGCTTGCATGGTGCTAGGAAGCTGGAAGCTCTCAGTATTTGAAATATCAGCAGGGTCACCCACAGTGGACAGGTTTCATGGGAGCTTCCAATCTAAGACTAAGAAACAGGACTGGCCATCCTCTTCTGAAATTACTATCCCTCAAAAATGTTATGGATGAAAACCATTTGGTTTTCATCATGAACTGTGCGTAATGCTCTGTATGTAACAATATGTAAATGTTAAGACCTGAATAAACATTTTGGCAATGCCACGTCAGACAAAAGTCTCATAAGAAATGTTTACAGAATTACTACAAGAAACAAAAAGAGACCTGGAGAAGTGGAAGAATATCCCTTGCTCATGGATAGGAAGACTCAATATTGTGAAAATAGCAATCTACCAAAGGCAATTTACACGTTCAACGCAATCCCAATAAAAATACCAATCCCATTCTTCAA